TATTTATTATATAAAATAACAATAAAGTCTATGGAATTCAAAATTTTGAAATTAAAATACATGATAACCATGATAAGAAGTTCAAGCTTACAGAGTTAAAGTATAAAGTTCTAGCAATGTCTGGAAGTGGTTGAAGTACTAATTTATATTAGAATTTAATAATAGATTTGTAATATCTAGGATAACCCCTGAAAGAATAATAACAAATAACTGACAATCCCATAAAGACTGAAAATAGAACACTAAAATAATAAATTTAAAAGGAGGCAATAATGGAGCATAAATGTAACATAAAATGTATGAGAAATTTAGAAGAATAGTGAAGTAGTAAATTTAATCTGAATATTCCAGTAACTATGTTAAAAGTGAATTTTGTAATACCACTGTTAAAAGAATATGTTAAGATAATGTATATATGAATTTTTCAAATATTTGAATGAACAATTAAAATTAAATTTAAGAAATGAAATTTCATGCAAATGCTAGCCAAAAGAAAATTGACGTAGGTCTACTAATGTCACAAAAAGTCACCTTTAATGAAAGAAGCATCGCTAGACCTAAGAAGCATATTTTATAAAAGCAAAGGTTATATCTGGTAAGGAAGATATAGCAGTTCTGAATTTGTATGCCCCTCCTAATAGAGCTTCAAATTACACAAAAGAAAAATTTTAGTAATAAAAGGACTAGAAAGTCAAAATCAGATAAAGAGATTTTACTCTGCCTCTTTAACTAACTGTAGAAAAATATACGGAAATCCTTAGAGACACACAGATATGAAAAACATGATTAACAAACTGAAATTAATTAAATATACATATTTATAAATATTTGAAATATGTGTATAAATATTTCAACCAAAATTCACCATGTACTGAAATATATAGCAAGTTTTAACAAATTTTAAGGAATTGAACTTATACAGAGTATATTTTCTATTTACCTTGGAATTAATTTAGCAATTCATAATAATAAGAAATTGGAAGTTTCTCAAATGTTTAGAAACCATCCAAAATATACGACAAAATAATCCAAAAAGAAATGTTAACATAGATTAGGAAATATTTTTGAATTGAATATTTTAAATGTACCAAAAACTGTGGGATGCACTAATACTTTATTTTTAGGAAAATAGATAACTAATAACGATAGTGCAATAAGAAGAAGAAGAAGAAGAAGAAGAAGCAGCCTTGGAGCTTCTATTTGGATCTCTTAGAATAGTCTCCTTGGGGAATCATAGCCAACATATACAATGTCTCAACTTCAAGACCACCAAGCAAGCAGAAAGCTAATGCTAGGCCTGGCCTGTAGAGAGGCTATGTACAGAGACAGGGAAACACCCAGCCAGCCAAGTAGATGTCCCAAACACCTCAGCCCAAATCCCAACATGTAAGTGCAAACCCTGAATGCAAGTCCAGTCTCAGCTGCCACTGACTTCTACCATCTGTGGGACCACAAGTGAAGATCACTTAGCTGAGTGCTTCAATCCCTAGATATGTGAAAGACTATGCTTTTAAACCACTTAGTAATTTGTTATACATGCAGAGACAACCAGAAATATTTTAAAAGAAGGATAAAAAGCATGATCTAAATTCTGCCTTGAATTCCAAAGAAACAGGCAGGCAATGATAAAAATCAAAGCACAAATTAGTTAAATGGGAAAATAAATTTTTCTTGAAAAACAGTAAAGCAGGTAGATGATAGCTAAAATACATAGATGGATAGATATATGATAGATATATGATAGATAGATACATAGACAAATGATAGAGAGCTAGATACACAGATAAGATTGATATATGCCTGAGAAATTTGATAAAGAACAAAAATAGCCAGGCCCTGGTGGCTCCTGCTTCTAATCCGAGCTACTCAAGGGGCAGAGATCAGAAAGATCACAGTTTGAAGCTAGCCCATGCAAATAATTCAGGAGATCCTATCTTGAAAAAAACCATCACAAAAAAGGGATGGTAGAATGGCTCAAGTGGTAGAGTGGCTGCCTAGCAAGAATGAGATCCTGAATTCAAATCCCAGTGCTGCCAAAAAAAAGAAGAAAAGAAAGGAAAAGAAAAGGTACCTATTATGAATTTCAAGAGTAGGGAAGGGGACCTAACTAGAAATTGGATAGATATTTAAAAGATACTATGAAAATATTGTGAAGAACCTAATAGAAATATATTTGAACATTAATATGAAATGGAAAAATCAAAAATCTCTTGAAATACATAATTTCTCCAACGTATCTACATGTAAAACTGAATATTCTCATAGGTAGTAAGTAAAATGAATTTATTATTAAGTCATTGCAGACATACGATATCACACACACACGTGCACAGAATCACAGGCCCCACATGTTATAAAAAGGAACTCATCTAAACACTGAAGTCAGAAATGACATCAATCTTACACATATTCTATTCCGTTTCAGAGAAGAGGAAAAGAAGAAAAACTTCCAAATTGTTTTTTGTATCCACTACAACAGGGGTGCCCAAACCTACTAAGAATATTACAAAAAAGAAAAAGTGCACACAAATAAACATAACCAAAAAAATCCTAAACAAAACATTGACTAACTGAATCCAGAAATACATAAAAAAAGATAGTGTATCACCTCAGAGATGCCTACATTAATCAGTGTTACTTGTCACATTACAGAATTAATAAGAAAAAACATAATTACCTTTTTATTTAGAAAAAGCAATAAATAAAACTTACCACCTATTTATAATATAAATCTGTAGGAAACAAGGAGTGGAAAGGAATTTTCTTAATCTAATAAAACTAATATCTCTAGATACATAGAAATATAGATATATCTCCAACCTTGCAGAACACATTATAACTACAATGAAAAGATAGAGCTATCATTTCGTGACCTGAAGGAAGATGAAGACAACCATTGCTACCACTTCTGTTAACACTGTACTTAAAGATTAACAAATAAAATAACCAACATTTTAAGAATTGAATAAATGAGCAAAATATTTGAACAAGAATTTCAACAAATGTCATCCAAATGGCCAATAACATGAAAATGTGCTTAACCTAATTAATAATCAGGAAAATGCAAATTAAAGTCACAACATGACACTATTATAAAATTCTCAGAAGAGCTGAAATGAAAAAAAAACAACATCCCAAATGTTGGCAAGAATAAGTAGCATCTGGTCTCCAATGCACAGCTGTTGGGAGTGAAAATTAGAATAATCTCTTTAGAAGACTACTTGGCTGTCACTACTAAAGTAGAACATGCCATACCTCCTGACCCAGAAATTCCAGTCTAAGATATATTACCCAACAGAAATGCATATGTAAGTTCATTGAAGATGTGTGTGAGAAAATATCCAGTTTTCCATCATCTGTGAGGTGGATTAATAAATAGTGTGCTATATTCATTGAATAGACTGTACAACCACATAGAAACATCTCATAAACAGAATGACAAATGAAAGAAGCTAGATGCAGACACAAAAATTCATAGCATAATTATATATATATATGGAGATCATACATATATATATATGTATGTATATTGCACAAAGGCAAAACTAACCTACAGTGTTAAAGATCAGGACAGTTGTTACTGTTACTGTTAGTACTGGTAGTACCAGAATAACTGGTTGTTACTCAGCCAGGCAGAGGGTTTCTCGGGCACCAGTCAGGAGTTCTAGCTCTGCATTAAGATTGCATTGTTGGACTGGAGGTGTGGCTCAAGCAGTAGAGTGCCTGCTTTGTAAAAGCAAAGCCCTGAGTTCAAACTCCAGTCCCACCAAAAAAATTACATTGGTAACCTAGGGATGCAGCTCACTACCAGGACACTTGCTCAGCATTCACAAGGCCCTGAGTTGGATCTCTGGCACTTGCAAAAAATTCTACATTTGTACATTTTATTTCTGCAAAAACATCAGAGTGTATACTTAAGAATTGCATACTTTTCTGGGTGTTTGACACACTTCAATGAAAAGTCAAAAGCAAGCAGAAGCAGTCTCAAGGACTATACATATATGCATGTATTCAGCAGTAGACAAAATTGATGCTGCCCAGTGGAGTGCACTGCAGCTTGCTGCCTGTTTCCTCCTCATTCCTTCAGTCTTAGTTGTTTCCTGCTCTCATGGTTGTAGTTTGGGGACACAGCTCCTCTTTGCTTATGTTTTTACTATTCTTCTGCAGTTACTCACTGGCCCATTTTCATTCCCTTTCTCCTTCCCTCTCTGTCCCCTCTTCTTCTCTCTCCCATACTTACCTGAATGCCTGTCCTTGCTCTCCCAACTACATTCACCTCATGGGGCAAGACTCTCTTAAGCCAGGTAGTCAACATGTAGTAGAGGTGCCTCATTTGAGCAGAGCTGTAGTAACAAGGGCTCACAGGCCACTAGGAAGCCTTCTGGTAGGCTGGAATACTTACGAGATGTCAGCTGGGTAGGGAAAATATATAAGGTTGAGCTCTGTCTATAAAGATGGCTTGGGTCACAGGTTTAGCATTGGGCATATCGAGTACACCAGTATAACCAAATCAACTCCAAATAGACGTTAACATTTGGAAATAAACCACAGCAACTCCAGTGGTGCAATCGGTTAGCATGTGGTACTTATATGGAAACAAACCATAGAACTACCCTTACCTCCTCCCACGGTCTGGCATGTCACCAAATATGCAGCAGCAGTTGCTCAGTAATTATTTGAGAAGCCAAAACAGCACATTTAATGGATGAATAGGTGACCTAGTGCCCACATTTTAGTTTCTCTGTTTGTTCTCAATCTCATCCTGAAATGATTACTTGGATGTGGGATTTCTCAATCTGTTTTACCCACTTCCCAAAATCTGTAAAATTCTAAAACTCCTGAGTTCACTGTTCAAAATTAATGTTTCAGATCTCAAAGATTATAACTCACCTCTTTCTTTACATCAAACAGAGTGCATTAGCTCTGATTAAAATGACATGTTGTTTTATCTCATTTAATCTGTGGTCAAAGAATGATATTTACTCTGATGTTTCCTTTAGGAGATCCACTGAAGTTTCTATCTGTGTGTTTAGTTTCAGGAGACTGATCCTATTTAACTATTCAATTGCAGATATAAATGAATGCACTTTCGACAATGGTGGCTGTCAGGACCAGTGCTATAATACAGTTGGCAGTTATTACTGCAAATGTCAAGCTGGCCAGAAGCTGAAGAAAGATGGCAGAGCATGTGAAGGTAACAGTTAAGACTGTCTGCTTACTGATAAGGAAAGAAAGAGGGGTTTGTCTTTTATACCAGAGCCAACTGAAGTGCTTATGTTGAATATTGTCAAAAGCACAGATCTTCCTCTCATGCCTAGATTACAAAATTGTAACCTATTAGAACACTTCAAGTAGCTTATTACAGGAAACATATGACTATATGCTGCTTTGGTTGTGTCATGTTCTGTTACGGAATTTCAATCATTCATTTAAACCCCTGGGTAAAGTACATATTTTCGAAAGCACTTCATTTAATTCTGATGTAAAAATGGTGCTTATCATAAAATACTCATATGTTACTATAATTGAAATGGAGGAGCACACAACTAATCATAAGAATAGTAGTCTTGGTGTTGAATTATCTTTGTACACTAACTTCAACTTTCTGTTTCCTTTTAAAATTAATTCCTTCCTTCCTTTATTTATTAATTCATCATCTTAATCATTTGACAGTCATTGAGTTCCTGTTCTGTATCAGCCATTATTTCATGCTCTGGAGATACAAAAATTAATGAGAAATAAATTCTTTCCTGAAGGAGTTCATTGATTGTAGGCAAAGACTGAAATATATATCCAGGCCTTACAGACTGCTATTTTGCAGCATTGAATCATGGGGTCAAGTGCACTGCATTCAAAGAGATACGGGTTTTAGTCACAGCTCTGTGATGTACTATTTGTGTAACTGTGGGCAAGTTACTTAATCTTACTAAGATTTTCCTCATCTGTAAAATTTAAGACAATGTTAGTTCCTAAAGCCACAAAAGTTGCTGTGAGAATTAAATAAAATAATGCCTTTAAAGCAGGTAGCACAGTGAGAGGTATATAGCAGGTGTTCAGACGGTGACTATGCATTGGACTTTCGTTTATGAACTCAATTGCTGCCCACACTGGGAACGGAATGGGGGCCAGAAAGTGCTTCCTTTTATTCTGCTTTAAAAAGGAAATCTTAGACTAAAAGGATCATCTGTGCCACACCTTTTAACTGTTCTTCCTGACTTTTTTCCTATCTATTCATGCTATTGAAATGATTGAGCATTTTATGTATTCAAGCATTTTCTTTATTTCTTTAAGATCACAGGAGAAAAGCATTTATTATAATTGTGTTTTCCCATTAACCCTTCAAAACCATACTAATTTTTTACCCTTAATAATGTTTGTTCCTGATGGGAATAAAGTGATAAGAGAAAAGAGAGTATACAAATGACATCCCTACTGAGGGTGCCCAGGACTGGTGCTGGAGGTTTGATTGAGATTTCTGGGTTGGATCATTGATCAGATTCCATTTATCAGTCCCTTCCTACAAGACTTGGGCAGGCAACAACTGTAAAGGCTTCAGGTACACAGCCAGCTGCTCAAGGGCAATGAAATCTGGACTTTTGAAACAGGCTTCACCCAGGGTAGGGACCTCTGCTCAAAAGGTGTAAATTCACAAAGGCAAGCCCTAGTTTCACATAGGTTCTTCTTCGTTCAAATGTGGCCATGTTTATTTCTGGATTGGCTCATTTGGCAATGGTATTCCTAGTATAGATTTAATATTATGGAAAAGGAGGGATCAAGGACTCCATGATATTCAAGGTAACAATCAGGAGATGGCCACTGATAACCTTCCCTTCCTTTATCTGACAGGGAGAGACCTGTTTGTTTCTCTTTAGCTGAGTACTAGTATTAATATCATTGTAATTATTATGGGTACATTTAAGTGTCTAGTATAGTAATTAGGCCATTGTTAGGCATAACAATATTCTTATTATTTTTATAATACTTATTGGACAAATATAACAAGTTAGACTTTAAACCCACTAGCTCATTTACATTCATTTATCTCATATTTTAATTGAAGTTAATTATTCTTTGTCATTCTATAAACATTAATATGTTTGGAGAAGAGCTTTCTATGATTTCCTTTAACTGGGATCTTACAAACTGAGTAAGAATAAGATCAGTATTCGTGAAAATCAAGAGTTTGAAAATAAGGTAGCATTGACTTGTTTACCAAGATGTAGAACTAGAGATTGCTTTGTGGAATGGAGCAAGCCAACAAACAAAAACCCCACTTCCCTCAGTCTCATTCACCTTAGCATCTCTTCTTTTAGATTTCCTTAAGTGATTATTTGGTAGTGATTATAATGCGACAGATTCAGCTTGCTCAATGGTTGAACATACAATAACCTCAAAGTTGTTTATACACAAAGTTAAATAAAAAATAATAGAGGTAATTTGGAAATCCAATGCATTTTAAAGTCACTGCAAATGAACATTTCAATTCATGTGGGTGTACTAATGAGGCACTGGTGTTTTTCTTTGGCTGGTAACTGTAAAGGTCAGCTGGTTTCAAAAAGCATAGTGTGGCATGGTACAAGCACCAAATTAAGAAGTTATTTAAAAACACTCTTTCTTTGTATTAATATAAATTGAATTTAACTTGTTTTAATTGCTTTTAAAATATAAATCAGCATTTTAGTGGACATTTGTTGTGCTATTAAAATAAATCTAGAGTCTGTCCTTAAATGAGATTGAAACATTATAAATGGCCTTGCCTTATCTCAGGCATAACACACCTAAAGCTTAGTTTCTGATTCATGGTGCAGATGCATTCTTATAAGATATAAATTAAAGGAGCAAGTAAGGGGAAAGAACTGCCTGCCACTGGCTTCTGTATGCACACGTGTTAGAGTTTTTCTTCATTAGTATGACATGAAGATTTTCAAATATGCAACTGTGTTTGCATTTCAGGAAAAATCATTTTATCATTTTATTTGCAATTATATTTAATGTTCTGTTATTTTGTTTAGGATTTTTGTGCCCATAACTATGTGTGACATGGGGCAGTAATTTTTGTTTCTCAAGCATTCTTTATGGCAGTGGTTCTCAACTTAAGTGATTTTGTCCCCTGAAGACACTTGGCAACGTCTAAGACACTATTTGTCTTCACAGCTGCGAGGAGTGGGTGCCACTGGCATCTCCTGGGTATAGGGAGGGTACTGCCAAACATCTTCTATGGATCCGCTTAAGCCTATGTTAGACCTTTGCATTCTATACTCCAAGTTTCTTTTCTCTTTACTGTATATGTTCTACCAGCTCATGAGTTTCAACTTTCAATGATTTCAATTTACATTTTAAAAAGTCTTATCCAGGGCGGAGTGGGTGGTAAGGGAGGGGGTGGGGGCAGGGGGAGAGAAATGACCCAAGCCTTGTATGCACATATGAATAATAAAAGAAAAAATAAATAAATTAATTAAATAAATAAATGATCAGACTGACCAAAAAAAAAAGTCTTATCCATTTTTAAAAGTCACATCCATATCCTTCATGTATGTATGCTCATTTTTGTAATTGTATTTTTCTTTTTTACTAACTACAGCCATTCTACATTCTTAGTCTTCCATTAACCTCTGTGGTCTTTGGTGGTGGCAGGGTATATAAGTCTGTTGTTTCTTATTTCTCAGCATCATTTTACACGCTTTCCTTTTCTTACAGGTCACTAACAGTTATTTACATGTTTATACTGTTAGATCAGAAATATGTCCTGGGAAAGGACCTTGCATTATTCCTTTTCACTCTCAGTTCACAGTTGTCTGGCACAAGGTGGAATTCCATACATGTTTATTGAATGAATGAATGAATGGACAGACAAAAGCTATCAAATACAAATGATTACAGGCATCCAGTCAATACATGTTTGATTTATTCCCTTATCTACAAATTCTAATCATGCTAAAGTTGTCATTGAAAGCTTGACTAGTTAAATGACTAGTTAAATCACTTTGCTATCAGTAGGTATTGGTATAGATATTTGTTGATAAAAAGCCTTTCTATTTAAAAGGGAAAAATCACATTTTTGTCTCTAGGGAGTAAGTCAAAACCTTTGGCTGAGTTTGAACTTTTTAAACCAATTCTCCACATGGTTTATCTAAATTACTGGTGCGACAACATTAATTGTGTGACTGTCAGCCCCAGCAGTCCCAAAGAGTCAAGAAATTTTTCCAAATGAAGGGGTAACTAACATTAAGGTATATTTTAATAAGGTAACTTACAAAGCTAATAAAAATTTATTAGACATTGGAGATAAATTCTTCTATTTGATAGAAAATATAAAGATACACTCTGCATTGAAAAAGGCATCTTGTTTCACTATTGTTAAAATATTTCAAAGTAATTTTAGTGATATTTTAGACTAATATTTCCCAAAAGACATTAGATGTGATAATGCAAATAAACAGAAATGATAACTCAGTATGCCATTATTATAAAATCATAGAATTTTTGAACTAGAATCGAAAAATAAAAGCTAGAAATGGAATCTCAGGGAAATTAAATGATTTGAACAGCTCTTAAGGATGGTTTGTGGGCATAGTGTGACAGAAACCAAGCTTTCTTATTTGATATGCAGTGTCCTTAACTTTTGATGTGGTTGATTGGCAGCATGAACTGGATCCAGAGCAGTTAATCAGAATTGTGGGGCCACAGTGCTGTGGAAGCCCACAGGTCCTCCATTCATAAGGTCATGAGCTACAGTGAGGAGAAACAAAGACCTGGAGAGAATGACTGATTTCCTCCAATCCCAGAAAATTTCTTTGTAGAAGGAGGAACAGAATCCAACTGTGTCATTCATCTTAGCTGGCCAATCCACCTGGTTAATAAACTCTCATTGGATATCTAATATATACATCAGACTGCATTGGGTAATTTGAGCATATCTGAATAGTACAAAACATCATTTCCTCCTTCATATATTTCAACATCATTAAGCATCCTGAATATAAACAACAGTGTAAGATCTTAAATGCAAGAATATATGATTATATTTTATGTTTTGGAAGTTCACAGGCCAGCGTTGTGCTGACAGAAGCATTGTATCTAATTTAGCTGGTTGTTTATCCTGGTTTTAGAGATTTCCAGGGGTGGTGGTGGTATCTCCTTAACAACCCTTGCTCTCAGGAAAGCCTTATATGTGGATTCTGCATTGGTCTTGCT